TTACAGTGGGTTGGACTAGAGTAGCAATGATGCAGGTGATGAGAAGTGATCAGATCTGGATACATTCTGAAGGCAAAGCAGGGTTTACAGGGGGATTGAAAGTGGAGTCTGAGAGAAAGATAGGAGGGATTTTGCCTGAGCAAATTTAAGGATGAAGTTCCCAGTGATGGAGCTGGGAAGACCGTGGTGGATCACATTGGTGGCAGGAGCTCAGGAATTCTTTTCTGGACATGCTGAGCTTGAGATGTCTCAGACAGATCCGAGTGGAGATGCCAAGAAGTGGTTGGGTAAGAGTCTGAAGCTCAAGAGAAAGCTCTCGGCTGGAACTCTAGGTCTGGAAGTTCTTGCTCAGGGTAAAGATGGTATTTAAAACCTTGAGATTAAAAGAGATGATCAGGGAGTGTAGTTGAAGAAGAAGAGAGACCTCAGAACTGAGCTTTGGGACTTTTGAAGCAGCAGAAAGTTAAGAAGGTATGGCCAGCAGGGAGTGGAGGAGACAGAAGAAATGAAGGAAGGAAGGAGGACGTGATGGGGGAATTAAATGCGGCTGTGTGTGTTCATCAGACCAGAATCAGAATTCAGCCAAGGCAGTGGGGACCAAGGGGCCTGCTTTCCCCCAACACTGTTCCTATCTGCCTGCCTCTAGCTGCGCATGCTCAGAGTGGTCTGAAGAGGTGCAGGGCAGGGCCCTCAGCACTCGCTTTCATCAATACCCTCTCACCCTGCTAGAAGTTTGGTCACTCCCAAGTACCTGCTGAGCATCTATATATGTGCCAGGGCCTGGTCTAATCACTGGGGGGAACAAGCCAGACAAGGCCTGTGCCCTGATAGAGCTTGTATTCTAATGGGGGTGGGTCAGGTAATAAACAACCAACAAATAGATAAATAAGGCAATTTTTAATACAGGTTAAGTATTTTAATACAGGTAAGAGAGACATCCTTTGGCTTAGGGTATCACCAAAGTCCTCTTTGAGGAGGTGACATTTGAGCAGACACCTGAATGATGAAAAGATGATCAGAAGATCTAGGGAACAGAGTTCTTGTTGGAAGGAGCTTGGAGTGCTAGGGGGAAGAGAGAAGGCCAGCCTGGTCCCAAGCTAGCCCTGGAGGGAGGGCGGGGCCACCTCGCATAGGAGCTTGTAGGCCATGAAATGAATGTGGGTTTCATTTCAAGTGTGCTGGGGAAGGCTGTGGTAGGTTGAAGCAGGAGTCACTCCATCTGATTACATTTCACAAATGTCACTGGGTTGGTCAGATGAACAATGGACTGTAGGGGGCAGAGTGGAGGCAGGGAGAAGAGGCTGTCCTAGCTCAGGCAACAGGTGGTGTCTTAGAACAGGATGGACCAGGATGCACACTGGAGGCAGTGAATAGGTCAGGCAGTCATAGAATTTTGGCACTTCTTTGGGTCAAGGCCTATACAAGGCAAAGAAAGGCTACCTACCGAAGAAACGGATTTGGGAGGCCCAGTCCTTGGCCTCAGCTTATTTGTGTTTTCTTATAGGAAGCTCGGACCACACAGCTCAAGGTGCCATGTAAACAAAGCAGTCATGAAATCAGTACATACGGGGAGCTAAATAAGTGTAAAAGGGAAACTGGAAAAGGTGTCTGGGGTACCCTGGGCAGAGATGACTTTGGAGCCTTCTCCAGGTAGGTGAGGAGGCATTCCACTTTCCAGTAGGAGGCAGTGTTTGGAAGGGGCTCCTCCACCACAGCTCGGAGCCCGCATCGCTACCTGAGCTGGAACTTCCAAGAACCTGGCTCCAGGCTCCATTTTCCCAGCTCACTGGGAGCTGAGAAGCGGGTGACTCAGGGGAGGTTCCTCCCCAGCACGCTGTGTTCTGTGCCCAGAGTGACTCAGTACCTCGTTCCCTCCCTCACGAGTGACCCCGGGGCCAATCCCTTAATGAGTCTACACCTCACTCTTCTCATCTGGCTGGGACAATTGCCTGGTGGAGTTTTTGGGTCCCTGGGGGCAGGGCTCCTGTATGCAACCGTCCAGGTTCCTTGAGAGGCAGGTAGTGTCCAGAGGAGCATAAAACCCTAGGGTAGACCCAAGGCCCCGGGCCCTCGCCTTGCACGGAAAGGGGTTTTTCATGCCTATGCCTGTGCGTTCTCTTTATTGTAGAGCCATTCAACAGCATTTTGTACCGAATACAGTTTCGCAAGCATTGATGTCTTGCAGGATTTTCTTTTGGACACCTCCTTGTTGTAAAAACTTGTTTAAAAAAAGAAAGCAACCAGAGCAGGCCGCCAAAGTCAGCAAAACAGACCAGAGGCTCTGGGGAGAGAGAGAGAGCGCGGAACCCCTCCACTTCTGGGGGGAACTGAGCAGGGGCCCGAGGGGGCAAGCGGACGATTGTGTGAGGGCGCCGGGTCGGTGATCTCGCCTCGCGCAATCGAAAGCGGGCGGGGAGTGAGCTCGGCTCCCCCCACGGAGCCCGCGGGCCGAGCAGATGCCCGGGCAGCAAGGGGTGGGCGGTGGGCTGCGGGGTCCTGGCTCGGGTCACTGGGACGCGGGCTGGCGCCCCTGCGCCTCGTCCTTCCAGCGCACCGGGTCGCAGCCGATCGACTCCCTGAGTTTCCCCGCCCCCCTCCAGCCAGCCCCCCGAACCAGAGCGGTGCCCGCGATTCTCCCCGGGCCCTGCCGCCTGGGATCGCCGCCCGGTTGGGACCCGGCAGGTGGACCGGGGCGGGCGCACTCTTCTCCCTGCCCCGGACCCTCCCGGGGACCCTCCCCCGAGCCCTGGCGCGCCTCCGCGCCCCGCCCCGAGCCCGCAGCCGGCGCCCCCGAGTTACCTGCCCCGGGAAGTCACAGTCCGCAGCCCGGACTCTAACAGGGTGGATCCGGCGGAGCCCGCATTCCTAGGGGAGGGGTCCCCACCTAGAGGGTCGCGGATCAAGTTACCAAGCGAGAGGAGGAGGCAGCGGGAGGCCGAGTAAACAAGGGGTAAAAAGTTGCATTTGGCTTATTCTTTTTCTTTCTTTCTTTCCTTTTTAAATCGTGCTTTGAAGCTGGCTGACTAGGGGACACGGCGTCCGCCCAGTTCCCGGAGCCCCGCGGCCCCGGAGCGCTGTGCCAGGGCAGAGCACCGTTCTGCCCCCGGATGCGGGAGCGGAGCGCAGGGCGGCCGGGCTCGCGGTGCCCCGCGCCCGGCCCTGATGGTGACCCCGGGCTGCTCGGGCGCGGGAAGCGGGGCCGCAGGAGCCCGCCGCCGTGCACCGGGATCTGGAGCCACAATACTCACATCCATGCGCATAAATAAATCAATGAGCAGCTCTCCGCTGCCAGCGGCAGGGAAACCTCGGGCTGATTAAATGCAGACATGGGGTGCCTGCCAGGGCAGGAGGGCGGCGGGGCAAAAGGAACGGGCGTGGAGGCCGGCGGTGGGGGGAAGGGAGGCCAGGGCCAGGAGAAAAAGAGAAAAACCCAAAGCCACATTTTCGAAACGGGGTTGAATTTTAAATGCCAACAGCCGGGAGGAGGGGAGGGGGCAGAGCTGCGGGCTCCGGGGCCGGTCGGCCACCCGGGGCAACTTTCCGGGCGGGAGGCGCGGCCGGAGGGGGCGGCGCCGGCGGCGGGAGGCGGGAGTCGGGGGCCGAGGGGGAGTCACTTTAAAGGCTCTTTCTTACCCATAATGCTTTGTGGGGACGTTGACAAGTGGATCCAAGATGGCGTAGAAAGTAATGACAGGTAAGTCCTGACTTCCCCCTCCTCTGCTGCTGGGGCGGCTTCGCGAGCTGTCGGAGCCCTCCGGGGAGGGGACCCGACTCCCCTCTGGTGTCCCGGGCCCCTGGTGGGGCGGCCCCGGGGCGGGCTGGGGGCCCGGGTGGCCCGCGGCGGGGCCTGGGAAGCGGGGCTCTTCGAGGCGAGGCCCGGACGCTGGGGCTGTTTACAGCTTCTTCCCCTCCTCAGCCCCCTTCCCCTCCGCAGGGGGCTATGGCGCCCTGGGCCCAGGCCGAGGTGGTGGGGGGGCTTGCACGCTAGAGCCGGGAGCCTGCGGGAGGTTTCTCCAGCCCGGGGCGCTCTAGGAGGGGAAGTCGAGCCTCCTCCTTGCACGCTCCCTTCCTCCGGGTCGCGGCTGGGGGTGGGGAGCGTGCGGACCTCCCACGCCCCGCTCGATTCCCCTCTCAGGACTCGGACTTCTACCGCGTGGGGCGGGGGCCGGAGGGTGGGCGTCGGGAAAAGTGGGTCAGGGGTGCGTCCCCTCCCTCCCCCTCTGAGGGCTCTCTGCCTAAGATTCACTTTCTTCCCCCCTTTCCCCGCCGCCTCTTCGGGAAATGCTCTTTGGCCCACAAGCACATCAACAAAAATAAAGACTATCTCTTCCTGGAGATTCCTTTAGGGGTCCTCTTTTCAAGGACTCAGAGACTGTATTTTTACAGTCTCCCCCAAACTGTAAGGGAACTTTGATTCCTCTCCCCCAAACTATTTGAGCCCTCTGCACCCTTCCTTGCCTTTGCTGAGGATTCTTCAGACAGAGTTTGAAGCCAGGGTCTTCTGATTCTTCCTGGATTGGGATCCTCAGGTTTTGTTTGCAACTCAAAAATTGTCATTCCTTCTCCCTCACAACTTCTTTTCAGGCAAATCATTAATATGATAAAAAGTATAACTCCAGAGACAGTGGATTCCTGGAGCGGGGTAGGAGGAGTTGCCTTGCCTAGTTTGTTCTTAATTTTGCCCTCTCTTAATCTCATGTTAACGAGGTTTCTTCTCCATTTCTTTTTTTCAAAGTAAGGTCTGTCAATGCTGAAAAAGATGACTTTATTATGTTTTTGATTTTAGGAGCATTTTATAATCTATTCTTTTATCTCCCTGAAGGAAAATTTTTTCATTTTTAAGGTAGAGAAAACAGACATTTGTAAAGCTGCATACTGTACCATTTTTGTAACTTTTTCTATTTGAAATTTAGATGCCCCTTCACTTCAGGCTGATAAAGTCTTTGCTACTGATAAAGTCGATTACTGGTATTGTATAGACACATCTTTTCTATTTGTCTCAGGAATTGGATGAAGTAATTGATCACTAATGAACTACAGTGCTGGTGAGATGTGTAAGGTGAGACTGCAGTTAAAAATGATTTCCTTTTATTACTTCTTTATTTTAATCAACTCTTCAGGGTAAGGCTGAAACTAATTTGATGGGGCCATCTTTATCTTCTAAATATATCACTAAGTCAATGGGTGTATAGGCAGGGCTGGATTTAGAACATAAAAATATGTCCAATGTACCAATCTTTTTAGTGTCTCCAACATACTTAAAAATAGTGGAACTTATCCAGAGCCAAATGTTATTTGTAGCTATCCTTGATCAGTATCTTCACCAGGAGTAATTATAGTTTTCCTATTCAAATTTCCTTGTGTAACTTTAATTGGGTGTCTTAATTTTGTCTGTGTTTTGGTGCCTATCACTTACCCTACATTTAGTATTAGTAATTGCATATTTTGTGTGTCCATGGTTTGTGGGACTCTTGTAAAGTATACCCTTTCTGTTGGAAAGAATTATTTTAGGCAAGTCAATCACTTGTGCTTTTATTTTCTGAGAAACGGAGTAGTATTTGTCTCTCTAATAATTATTTTAAAATAAAAATGAGGATATTGAGTTCTGTTTAGCTTATTAGGGATGAGACTAGTTTGTCATTTTTTTCTGATCACATGTGGCATGTGAATTCAAAGTGTTTTATTTAATCGAACTTGTAATGCTTCGGATTTAAAGGATATTGATATAGTGTTTGTGAAGTTAGTGTTCTGTGCTAGGGAGAGGGAGGGAAGTTTGCTAATCTTGCATTTTTCATAAGCAGCTCTCTCAACTTTAAACATATTTTATTATTATTTCTTTGTACATAAAATGTAAGTAGTTATGGTCGATTAATTGGTTATTACAGTTTTTTTTTTCCTTTAACACATCTGGGCCCCTGGATTTTGAAATCCTCTCACAAACTTTTCATATCTATCACAAAATCTGTTAAGGAAGAATGAGCTGTACTTTATTTTTTTTTACTAGATTGAGGCATATAATTGACATTTTGCCTTAAAAACAAAAAACAAAAACTTGGGAAAAGAAGATGGACATAAACCAAAATTCTTTTGTAGATGCACATACCACATTTGCTTGTGTTTGAAACTCAGCAGTGTTTATGTGTATTACGTATACTTGTTATTTTTATTTTTGGCAGAGCAAATGTGCATTTTAAAATTTATTTTCAGTTTGCAGATGGAGGCATATTCATGCCTTAGACCTCCTAATTTGAACTTTTTATCATATTTTTTTGAAAGATAACTTTGTGGAAAGGAACCAGTGATCTGCTTTTTGCTGATGGAGATATTGATTTGTAGTTTAAAATTGAATATTTAGAAGTAGGTAATCTTGTATGACTAGTGTTGTTTGGCCTGGATTTTGTTAAGACATTTTCCACAGTTTTCACACATGTAGACCATGTGAAGTATTAGTATTCATTTCAAAGTGAAGTTAGTGGTTGGCCACCAAACAACTTGCTACACAAAGTTATTCTAAAATGGGAAATACCATAGTATTGAAGGTTGTGGTGAAGTAGAAGTCTGTGTCTTCGAGCTGAATAAAGACATAGCTTTTTTAGTCTGTCCTTTTGGCTGGAAAGTTGGTCACTATTTTTAGGTAAGGCTATAGTTTTTGGGAGTCAGTAACTACCTCTATCAGCTGGTAATCTTGATTTTTGAAATTGTTAGGAAGACTTTTTATTTTCTAATACCATAAATATTCAAATACATTTTCTTAAAGTCTGTATATATTTATGGAGTGTCCAGTTTTCATTAGAGAGGGCAGTGATGCCAAAACAACAGGAGAAATAATTCCTACTTGTAAAGGGCCTTGTGTAATTTAAAAATCTACAGCATATTCATGAAAGGCTAAGAATAGTACAGAGGGACCTACAAGTAACTAGACCAGATCTTATAAATGTGTCTGTGTTTTCTGTTTAAACAGTAGGTTTGGCATTAATATTGAATGCAGATTAGTCTATAATTGTCTGTCAGACTATATTTAAGATCCAACTACAGGCCCAGTACAGGAAATAAGGTCCTTTGCTTGTCGTTTGAATGTATCAAAGATTTTGGGCCAAGTTTACCAACAATAGTTGTCTAAGACAGGGAGAGGAACTATTTTAAAAATTATAAGCAAATTATTAGGGTTCATTTTCATACACTTAAGTAAATGTACACGCAAATGTAATTGAATTTCTGAGTAGTATTTTGAAATGTTTTCTAGAAGAGAAGTATGATATGTGTGGAGAGTGTGGCCACACCAGTTTATAGTTCATTTCAATTGATGGGTGTAGTCAGGATTACTTCTATAGCATTGAGTAGAAGAAGCCTAAAACATAGTGGTCTTGTCACTTCGAGGATGGCTGGGATAATACTTTTGAGAGTAATCCTGAATCTAGTAGAGTTAATATTTGTCTTTTAAAAAAGATTATTACAGATATAATATGAAGAATTTTTATTGAAATATGTAGTATAAAAATTATTTTGTCAAGCTTTCAATTATCTAAAAGAAATTGAAAGTTTTTTAACTTAATACCAACAGTCATACCAACTTGTTTACTCTTTTAAATTGTACTGGGTCAGTTTCTCCAAGTGAATGCAGGAAGTTGTCTGGTAAAACCAGAGCTTATACATTCATCTTGCTTTTGAACAAAAAAGAACCTAATTCATCATTAGGTGATTCTTCAAAGAGTGCATGGCATATTTTTGACCAAACCATTCTTAAGTGTGAATGTTTGTGATTTTTATGATTTATGTGCCATATTTTAGGTGTTTTTGGCACAGCCGATATGTCTTTTTGGTTGAAAATTCTCCTTGTGGTGGTGAAAATATTCCTATAACATGATTTTCCTGTCAGTAGGCAATATGTTTAACTAATAAAGTTGGAAAAATGGTTTACTTTTATGCAAAACTCATGCATGCTTATAGTAAACAAATTTGAGCAATACTTAAGTATATAAAGTAAATAAGGCAAAAAAAAAGCCTTTTTTCTCCTTCCTCCATCTTTAGTCCTGCTCCCCTGAGCTGACTGTGGTAAACAGCTGGGTGTCATTTAGCTTTTGGAAGACTTCTCTATTCTTGAGATATTCTGGCAGTAGTGAAAGTAGAGAGAGACGTCAGGAAAGGCATGGTCATTGAACCAGAGTTTGGAAGTTGTGCAGGGACTATTCTGTTCCTATTTCCTATGATGTTAAGTAAGTAATAGTGATAATCTTAAACTGCTATCAGTGTAAGATAACTTTAATCAAATTATTAGTTAAACACTAAAACGGTTAATTCTCTTGTTAGGTTGGTAAAGTATTGATTTGTTGATCTTTTAAGGAAATATTTGTGAATCGAATTCATATAATCTTAGGGCTGGGGGTGAATAATGGTGGTAATAAGTTACCGTCTGTTGAATTTTATGATAAGCTTCACAGTATATTTACTATAGGCTTTTTATAGCTCATTATCCCCTTTAATTTTAATAACAGCTCACAAATGTGAGCTACCTAATGTAATATAACAAGACCACTAAAATAGTGGAGCTGGTGTTCTTTCTGGAAAGTGTGTGCTTTGCTATTTCTAGCTAGTCTAAGTGACTTATTTTCTAGATGAGGAAATTTCGGCCTAGAGAAATTAAGTGACCTATTCAAGGTCACATAACTCAGTAGTAGCAACATCAAACCTAGCTTTTTATCTCTGGACACTTATCTCGGGACTCTTTGTCTGGTGCTGTTGTGCTACATTTTATTGAACTGCTATGGACCAAAAGACCATATGCTGTGGATGTTGGACACGAATGCTTCAGAACAGATGTATCCGTAAATGGTGTTTTCTACTATGTACTTAAAAACTTTCTTCTGTCTCTTTCAGAAATTATAAAGAGCTCTGATGGGCTATTTGGGTGATACCCAGTGCAGTGAACTGCAGGTGAGTAAGGTTTAGGAGATCCTTATTTAGAAAACAAGAAAAAGAGATAAGGGAGACTTAATCTAGGCAAGAATGTCTGTCTAGAAAGGCTGAGGTGGGACAGGGTGGAGTGATGTAGGGCTGTTGTGAAATGGTCCTGCCTGAATTGGCCACTTTTGGAACAGACTAGATGATGAACAGACACTGAAGAGACTCTGCCTGCTGCTTTGTTGGACTAGTTTGTTTGAAGAGAAGTGAGGGTAGGTTAATCTTCCACTTCTGTTCAGAATGAGTAACTGTTAATACATAGGGGCTCTACTTGTCTGATGTGATTGGAATTTGAGAGGTCCTTCAGTTTTTGTGTCAACATTCTTGAGTGATAATCACCCTGTGCTCTGACGAACTTGGTTAAGTGTTGAATTGTTTTTCCTGTTATCAGCCTTGTATGTAGTGTCATGAATGACTGCATATATCTGCATTTTTGAGGATCTAAACATATCAATAGAAACAAAAGATTGGACTTTTCCCCTAATGGTTTATACTACTTCCATCTGTACTACTAGTACTTCAGATTATTTATCTTTTGCTGAAATGCCTGCTAATTAAAGACAATTTAGTCTTGAGCATTTATTATTTCACAGTAATTAATCATCTTGGTCCATTATAGTATCTTAGTCTTTCATTACTAAACTTAGAAAATGGTAATACTATAGACAAAAAACTGGAAGACTTTTTATATTGCCCTTGTGGGCCATCAGTGCTAAAATTATTGATATATTTTCAGTACTAGTCTTTTGTTAGACATCTTCATCTATAAAAGGTTTCAGCTCTTAATAAAATGACTTACCATCCTGCTTTTTGAATTCTGGCTGGGTAAGATTTACAGGAACATCACTAGTTGCTTTTTACCTGTCTGGTTTAAGTCAGAGTTTTTAGCTTTGTGATCTTTGTAGTTAAAAAAAAACAAAAAACCAACCAACTCTCTCGCTCTGTTTTTTTGTTTTTGTTTTGTTTTGTTTTTGTTTTTTTGCTTTTAACCATACCCAGGTCTCCTGGCCCCTAGTTTTTTGGTTTGTCCAAGAGTCCATAACGGCCTTTTAACTGATACAGTCCACTGCCGAGTCAGCAGATTGGCCTTGAGCATCGCAGAGACTTTAATGTGGAAATACCATGTACTTTTAGGGTTTACAGTGAAACTTGGGCTTGGCTACTTGCTGATTGTTAAAGTAATACATGGTTGTAGAGGTTCTTTGTTTCTTGAGAATATGCTTGTTTTGCATAATTTGTTTCCCATAGGTTCATGGGGATGATCAGAAGACCAATTGAGGAGGTTTGCTAGTCCTTGAAAAACTGAGGTCAGGGGTAGTCATAAGTCATCGTGACAAAGGAGAGCATGAAAACTCTCAGTCAAGAACAAAGTGAGCAGTAAAAGGGAGGGGTGTTTCTCTACTTGAGACTGTATCAGGCTTGTGTCCTGGAACCCCTCTGTTTCCTGTGTGTAGTGGAACTTACTTTCTTAATGTTGAATAAATTGATATTAAGGCCAGGTGCGGTGGCTCATGCCTGTAATCCTAGCACTCTGGGAGGCTGAGGCGGGCGGATTGTTTGAGTTCAGGAGTTCGAGACCAGCCTGAGCAAGAGCGA